TTTAATGAATTTTCATAAATGTTAAAGGATAACTTATAAATGTCAATAGCACTTATGAGAATGTATATTTGTGAATGTATATATGAGAAAGATAAATAAAACTTTTTAAAATAACTCCCAGAATTCCCCAGCCAGCTTGACCGCTTTAAGACTTGTGGACTTCCACTCCCAGAATTCCCCAGCCAACTTGGCCACTTTAAGACTTGTGGACTTCCACGCCCAGAATTCCCCAGCCAGCAGAATTGAACTCCACAAGTCTTTAAAAGTGCCCAAGCTTGGCCTCCTTTGGCAATAAAAGTCTAGTCGTATAAATGAAGTCTAGTCATGAATCCAAAGAGCAGCCACTGAGTGTAGGCATTTTCCTTTAGGAACTCCAACAAGTCCCAGCAAGAGCTGCTACTGGACCTGATGTGGTCGATCTGGCCCGAACTGCCCGCCTACGGGCGGAAGGCAGCCCAGTTTGTGGATCTCCTGGGCTACTTCTCTCTAAAAACCCAGCAGACAGAGAAAAAGGTAAGAGCTTGGAAGGGTGTCTTCTCCCCAGGGGTGAAATGCTACTGGTTCTCTGAAAACACGGGTGGGTGGGTGTCGTTTTTGCTCCCAGGAGGCTTCCCTAAAGCCTGCTAGGCCAAAAATGGGAGGGTGGGGGGTGCTGAGAAAGAGACGGAAAGACAGAGACAGAGAGAGAAAGGAAGGAAGAAAAAAGAAAGAAAGAAGGAAGAAAGAAGGGAGGGAGAGAAACAGGAGAGAAAGAAGGATTACAAATCTTGCACTAGACGCAGCTTCAGATGTTAATCCAGGGCTGGAAGGGACCTGGAGGTCATCTAGTCCAACCCTGCTCCAGCAGGACATTGTTAAAGTGAGTTTCTGTCTTTTGAGTCCCCAGTTACATGGCTACATAGTCACATGACCCCACCAAGCCACGCCCACAGAACCAGTAGTAAAAACATTTAGATTTCACCACTGCTTCTCTCCCTCCTTATTCCCTCCCCCCAGGGACTTTCTGCAGGCGGGGCTGAGTGCCCCTGTACACGTTTAAAGTGTTGTAAACAACTTGGGAGGTTTGCCATCCCAAGAGCCATCCTAAGAGGAGGGGGGCACTTCTGTGTGTTTCACGGTCACCCTAGGCTAGGTCGAAAGAGCTTCCGCTGGTGAGGTCAGAACTCAGATGTCCATCTTGCTTGCCCTGTTTGTAGAGGAGGGTGACTCACCTGCCCAGGTACTAAAACCTGAGAAGAAAATGTTTTATTCCCCCTTCTTTCTGGAACCTGACTTCTCCAAGGATGCAGGAAAGCCACTTCAGGCCACTCAGGGACCATTTCCTGTAGCTCACCTGAGTCTGCTTTATGGGACCTCCTGGTTCACAGATTGGGTCCTTCTGATTTTTTCTCTATTTCAGTTCAAGGAATATTCCCAGAAGGCTGTGGAGATCCTCAGGATGCAGAACCACATCCTCACCAATCACCCCAACTCCAACATCTACAAGTGAGGGTTGTTTGGCACGTTCAGAGCGGAGGGGAGCCTGGGAAGGGACAGGCAAGGTGGTAGGGGGGGGGGTGCTTCTTGTCTGGAGGTGAGAGGGGGCACTTGCCTGGCTGCCCCAATTAACTTTGCAGCGCCTGGAAATTCATCATCCTCTTTAAAGACCCCATAATCCCTCGAGGGGTGGAGCCTGAATGGAGCTGAGTTTTTCCTGGCCAGTTGCCCTTCCTGTTGCCAGTGCAGAGTTTTGTTCAGCAGATATATTCTCATTGTGCTCAGAGAGAGAGAGAGAGAGGAGAGAGAGAGAGAGAGAGAGAGATTTGCCTCTACCTAGGATCGAACTCACAGCCTCCTGATTGTGAGACAGGAGCTCCACCCCTAGGCCACCGTACCCCACCCAGTTTGCAGCTTCCCGGAAATGGTTCCAAATTAATTCCAAGCAGCCTTTTTTTAGTATGC